TCAGCTCTTCCAGAGTGCCGAGTTCAACTCCCAGTACCCACATGGTGGCTCACAGCCATCTATTGTGGGATCTGATGCCCTCTTCTGGCATAAAGTCATATATGCAGATACAGCACTCACACAAATAAATAAATAAACAAATCTTTTTACAAAAGATATAGACTGGCTAATTAGATTGAAAAACAGCATTCTACTGTTTCTGTTAGAAACAAATCTCACCAGCCAAGGCACACACACACACACACACACCTACCTACCTCACAGGCTAAAAGAATGGAAAGTGATACTCCAAGCAACTGGAATCTGGAAGGAAACAAAATTAACTGTGCTCAATAATAAAGCAGACTTCAAAGCAAAATTAGAAGAAAGAAGACCATTTAACATTGGCAGGGAAATCATCGAGAGGCTATAATGAGTATAAATATATATGCAGCAAATATTGATGTACCCATTTAAAACAAAACAGAACAGAGAACTAGAACAAAACAATCAAACAAAAATTACTAGACATAAAGAGACATAGAGGCCCCAGTATAATTAAAGTGGGTGACTTCAATACCCTATTCTCACCAATACGTTGGTGACCCAGAAATGTCCCATGAAAATGTCCTTTCATTGGAGAAACTTTGGATATGAACTATATGATAGATTAATGGAACTAACAAACTCTATGAAGCTTTATCTAACAACTGCAACACACACACATTTTTCACATATTTTATGGAAAATTCCTCAAAAATACATCTCTGAAATAGTTACTTTTAGGCCACACAGCAAATCCTAAGAAATTTTAAACCCTTGAAATAATTCCTGGCACCTTATCAGGTCATAAAGAAACATGACTAGGAACCAACAGCAATATATACTACACAAACCACATAAATGTGTAGACAACAATGCCTTTTTGGACAGTGAGATGGTCATTGAAAATATAAGCAGAAAAATGCTAGAATAAAACTTAAAATGGAGACACAATCTATTGGAGTATGTGAAATACAGCAAAGGCAGTCCTGAAAAATGTGTAACTATGAAATCCTGCCTTAAAAAACAAAAACAGAGCGGTCTCAGATAGCCTTATGATGCAGCTCAGGGTCTTAGAAAAACAAGAACTACCCCAACACCAGGAGAAGACAGATGAGCGTTGGACTCGGTGCAGCAAAGGCCAGAAGAGCAGTACCAAGAACCAGTAAGACGGGGAGCTGGCTCTGTGAGTAGCTTAACAAGACCGATGAACCCTTAGTCAAACTAACCAAAAGAGAGAGAAGCTATAAACTGATAGAGATGAAAAGCCAGATATTGGGCCTGGAGAGATGGCTCAGTCGTTAAAATCACTGGCTGTTATTACAGAGGACCCAGGTTCAATTCCCAGCTCCCACATGGCAGCTCACAACTGGCTGTAACTCCAGTTCCAGGGGACCTGACACCCTCACACAGACGTACATTCAGATGAGACACCAATACACATAAAATAAAAATAAATCTTAAAAAAGAAAGAAAAGCAATATATTATAATGCAATAGACAGAAATCCAACAAGTTTACCAGGAATTCTTCAATAAACTTAAAATAGAGCTACTGTAATGTCTACCTTCCAGGACTGGCATGGCTGTGGGATTGACCTTACTGGAGTAACAGTGAATGAAGAAACGACAGACGCTATGGGCTTACAGAAAAGCTGGGATTGGGTGGGTTGTGTGAGGCTAAGCGGCTGTACTAGTATTTACAATGGATGAGTAGATTAGCCAGTTTTGGTGGGAGGTCTCTGCAGGGAGGTGGTCTCAGACTTCAGTCTGGATGGATGAAGCTTTCTGCACGAGGTTGGCATCCACACAGGGATCAGGGGAAGGCCTTGTCACTCCCCGACCCTGGCCTGGGTAAAGCCTTGCCATTCCCATAGGTCTGAGATATCAGCGTCCTCAACATGGCTGTGCTCACGCCATGAATGCTCATTCATACAGGGGTGCATTTGCTCCCCAGATCCACCCGTACCTGGTGTATAACTGAAGGAATCAAAGTCATCATACACTAGAGATACCTGCAATGCTATGCTGATTATGTCACTATTCATTCAGCCGTAATCAATGAATCAGCCTAGGAGCCTAGCAGTGACTGAATGCATAAAGAAAATATGGCACGTATTATTCAGACATGCAGAAGAATGAAATGATATCATTGCAGGAAATGGATAAAGACCATCAAACCTGGGTCAGGGGAATCCAGGTTCTTAGCCTCTTATCCAAGAGCTGAACATAAGGCTCACATATTTGCAAAAGTGAGATATTTTATTCCGAAGAGCAAAGCAACAGTATAGGTTATAGGAGTAAACACTGTCAACACTCACGTGGGACAACATGAGTGACAGGGCCTTGCTTATTGTTCTGAGCTTCCTTTTAAAGTGCTCAAGAGGAAGAATTTGTTACTAAAGGGTTATGTAATGATTTCTCCATTGGACATGCCCTTTCTCATAATACATCTGATTTTAATCATATGTACACACAGTTATGCATAAGTAAGATGGTAAATTGTGCATCCTTCCTATAAAGTTAGTAGAACACAGTTTTTTTTTCCTTACTTCACATGTACCCCAAACCAGTTCAGACCTGATGGGCCCTTCTATTTTCATTCCAGATTCATTGAGAGTCCACTTGAGCGAAACTGTCCAAACATGAAAGCTTCAGAGATGGGAGTGTGTGTAGTCTGATGCGGATGGGTGGGGCATGGGGCTTCTGAAGTCTCTAGACGCATTGTTGGAGAGGGTTGTGGGTGAACATAGTTACATGCACGTGAGGAAGAAGGCTGCTAACTGTGTTATCAGTGTGTGTGCAAACCCCAAAGCAAATGGGGATCCTAGGGCACTGAACTATTTCCTCTGTGTGCCTGCCTTGGTAGAGATTGTATTTATGAGAAACATCAGAGAAAGCATTTGGTTTGGGTCCAGTGAGACAGCTTAGCAGATAAAGGTGCCTACTGACCTAAATTAGATACCAGAGATCCACAAAGTGGAAGGAGAGAACCAATTCCCACAGATTTTCCTCTGACCTCTGCATACATGGTGTGGAATGTGCAGGGGTTTTTTGTTGTTGTTTGTTTGTTTGTTTCTTTTTTTGAGATAGGATCTCTCTAAATAGACATAGCTGGCCTTGAATTTACAGAGTTCCACCTCTCTCTGCTTCCCAAGTGCCAGGATTAAAGATGTGTTCCACCACCACTAGACTAGTGTTTTGTTTTTTGTTATATCAATACATTCTTGAAGCTGTAAATATTTGCAAATGTGGACTTTTTCTTGGTGGTGGTGGGGGGGGGGTTGAGACAGGGTTTCTCTATAGCTTTGGAGGCTGTCCTTGAACTCAATTTGTAGACCAGGCTGGCCTCGAACTCACAGAGCTCCACCTGCTTCTACCTCCTGAGTGCTGGGATCAAATAAGGCCTGTGCCACCACCACCCGACTATTATTTTTTAATTTGCGTTTTTAAATTTCTTTTTCTTTATTAAAAAAAAGCTTTTTGAAGATAGTCTTATACCACCCAAGCTGGCCTCAAACTGACCAAGGATGACCTTAAAGTCCCCATCCTCCTACCTTCCCAATACTGGGATTATAGCATACATCATGTGGACAGTCTCCCTCCCTCCCTCCCTCCCTCCCTCCCTCCCTCCCTCCCTCCCTCCCTCCCTCCCTGTCTCTTTCTGTACCCTTGACTGTCCTGGAACTCCCCATGTAGACTAGTCTGGCTTTGAATTACCAGTTTGCCTCTGCCTCCTGAGTGCTGGGATTAAAGCTATTCACCACAATGCCAGGCTCTCAAATGTGGACTTTCCAACTAACTTTTATCATAGGAAATGTCAAACATATAAATAAATTTATAGATTATAGTGTAAATGGGTCTTCATGTGTGGATGTTCTAGAAAAATCCTGTTTTAAGAACATTTTCTTCTGACCCAGCAGAATAAAATGCTTCAAGGAGGTCAATCTGGTCTGAGGTATTCCGAAGTCCATCTGAGGGCCTCCTCTGTCTTCCCTCTTCCACTGGTAGCAAGCAGGGTTAAGACTCTGCCTCGCCTGTCCTGGCAGGCTGTTGAAAGGCAGCAAGAGGCAGGCTTGAAGCTCAAAGTTCTCCAGTCATCTCTACTTCTATATAGAAACAGGAAGTTCTTAGAATGAAGTCTGAATTGCGATTCTAAGAGTCTTTTTTTTTTTTTTTTTTTTTTAAAGCCAGGGTCTCATTATGTTGATTCAGCTGTCCAGGAAGTCCCCATGTAGACCAGGGTGGTCTCAAACTCACAGAGATTGGCTTGTCTCTCCCTCCTGAGTGCTGGGATTAAAGGTGTATGCCGACATACCTGGCTAACTAAATGTTTCTTAAGAGTTTGGAAACTATCAATTACTTCATATTTCATTCGAGATGATTAATTCTCATGACTGTTGTTACTCATAAAGTGGTCTTGTTTGGTTTCTGCCTCTTTAGCCACTAATCCTATGACATCAAAAGCACTTAAGAGATTCTAAGGATACAAAGCACTGCGAATGTTGGTGGTATCTTCCTGTTATCCCAGCTCTAGGGAGGTGGAGTCAGGAAGATGGGACGTTCAAAGCCATCCTTGGAGAGTTCTGTTTAGCCCAGGTTAATTGAGACCCTGTCTCAGAACACCAACCGACAGCATTCATTAAAATGCTTAAAACATAGCACACTAAATTCTTAAAGCTCTCTAGCTATAAAATCTCAAGGCTGTGCTGGGCATTGTGGCACACACCTTCAATCCTAGCACTTCAAGGCAGAGGCAGCCAGCCAGATCCCTGTGAGTTCAAGGCCAGCCTGGTCTACATAGTGAGTTCCAGGCTAGTCACGTGCTAGACAGTGAGACTTTCAACAAGCCAACTAAAACCCCAAGAATGCACATTTCCACGTTATAGTAAATGAGTGTGAATATTTGGTCTTCCTGGTAATACGAGGAAAGGTATTTACAGGAAACGCCTGTGTTCTTGCCTTCCCTGCCCTGGAGCAGCGTCTCCTTCTCATCTGGGGCATTGAAAGAAGACAAGATGGCAGTACTATCGCCTGACATCAAAGTGGAGGCTTCCAAAGTCACCAGGAGTTCCTTGGACAACTGCTTTCTATTTGAGAGCAGCTGGAGGAAAGCAGTTTTGGAAACACAGAAGATGAGGAAAGGTAACTTCATTTCAGTTGTAATTCTCTTGGAGAAACAGAAGGGGTGTTTGGAATTTACAGATATTTAGACTGTCTCTAAACAGTCGAGAGACATTATGTAACTCCTATGACATTTATATTGGGCTAGTATATTGCGTTTATGGAAAGGGGAAGTGGAGGCAAGTTAAGATTAATATTCTGTGAGCAATGGAAACACATTTTATTTACTTATGTTTTAAAATTGTTTTATTTGTTACTTATATTTTAAAATTGTTTTGAGAAAGTCTAACTATGTTGCCCTAGCTGGCCTTGAACCTACCATGTAGCCCAGGCTCACCTTGAACCTTTGAAATCTTGCTTCTGCCCCTCGAGTGCTGTGATAGAAGCGTGCATACACTACAATGCTCAGCTATGAATTTTAAACAATTACCTTTTTTCTCCTGTTTTTCTTTCTAACAGCGTTTTACATACCCCAGACTAATCTTGAGCTTGTAGTCTAGGCTCGCCTTTTAATTCCTCATCTTCCTGCCTCCACCTCCCAAGTGCTAGGATTTCAGTGCCACTGTGACCTTTAAGCTTTTAGTCTCTTAATGTACCTTTTCTGCTTAATGCCTTTGTTTTTATTTCTTTTTAAGATGTGTTTATTATTTTATTTTATGTATATATTATGTATGTATTTTATGTGTTTGCCTGCATGTATATATGAGTACCAGGTGGTACCTGGTACCCGTGGAGGCCAGAAAAAGATGTGAGATCCACTGGAACTGGAGTTCCAGACAGTTGGGAGCTGCCATGTTGGGCTGAGAACTGAACCCCGGTCCTCTGGAGGAGCAGCCAGTGCTCTAACCCTCTAGGCCATCTCCCTAGCTTCTGTTTTTGTTTATTTTGTTTTGTTTTTCATTTTTACATTCCAATCCCAGCTTCTGTTTTTATTTGTTTTGATTTTCCATTTTTTACATTCCAATCCCAGTTCCCCCTCCCTTCTTTCCTCCCACTCCCTCCCCCTCTTCAGATCTACACCACGGAGAGGGTAAGGCCTCCCTGAGGAGTCTGCTAAGTCTGTCCCATCATCTCATTGAGGCAGGACCAAGGCACCTCTCCATCCCCCACACCCCTGTGTCTAGGCTGAGCAAGGTATCTCTCCATATAGAATGGGCTCCACTAAGTCAGTTTGTCATTAGTATTAGATCTTGGACCTACTGCCAGTGGCCTCATATATTGTCCCAGTCACACCACTGTCACCTATATTAAGGGAGTCTAGTTTGGTCTTGTGCAGGTCCCCATTTGTCAGACCTGGGTCAGTGATCTCTCACTAGCTCTGGTTCAGCTGACTCTGTGGGTTTCCCCATCATGGTCTTGACTTCTTTGTTCATATTTTGCTCCTCCCTCACTTTGATTGTACTCCAGGAGCTTGGCCCGTTGGTAAGTTGTGGATTTCTGCATCTGCTTCCATCTGTTTTTGGAAGAGGGTTTAAGCTTCTCTGGGGTTGTGGATTGTAGTCTGGGTATCTTTTGCTTTATGTCTGGTATCCACTTATGAGTAAGTACATGCTATATTTGTCTTTCTGGTTTTGGGTTACCTCATTTAGGATGTTTTTTTTTTCTAGTTCTATCCATTTGTCTGTGAATTTTAGGATGTCATTGTTTCTTACCAATGAGTGGTACTCCATTGTGTAAATGTACCACATTTTCTTTATCCATTCTTCAGTTGAGGGGCATCTAGGCTGTTTACAAGATCTGGCTATTACAAATGTTGCTATGAATGTAGTTGAGCAAATGTCCTTGTGGTGTGAATGTGCCTCCTACGGGTATATGCCCAACAGTGGTATTACAGGGTCTTGAGGTAGATTGATCGCTATTTTTTTGAGAAATTGTCATACTGATTTCCACAGCAGCTGTACAAGTTTGCACTCCCACCAGCAGTGGAGGAGTGTTTTCCTTTCCCCACATCCTCTCCAGCATAAGCTGTCATTGGTGTTTTTGATCTTAGTCATTCTGATCGATGTAAGATGGAATCTCAGAGTGGTTTTGACTTGCATTTCCCTGATGACTAAGGATGCTGAGCATTTCCTTAAGTGTCTTTCTGCCATTTGAAATTGTTCTGTTGAGAATTCTCTACTTAGGTCTGTACCCCCACTTTTTTATTGGATTATTTGATTGTTTGATTTCTAGTTTCTTGAGTTCATTGTATATTTTGGTGTTAGTGAATATCTTTTTCCATTCTATAGGAAGCCGTTTTGTCCTGTTGACTACATTCTTTGCTTTACAGAAGCTTCTCGGTTTCAGGAGGTCCTATTTATTAATTGTTGCTACTGGTGTTCTATTTAGGAAATGGTCCCCTGTGCCTATGTGTTCAAGTGTATTTCTCACTTTCTCTTCTATGAGGTTCAGTGTGAATGGATTTATATTGAGGTCTTTGATCCATTTAGACTTGAGTTTTGCGCATGGTCATAGATATGGATCTATTTGCATTCTTCTACATGTCAACAGCCAGTTATACCAGCACCATTTGTTGAATATGTTTTCTTTTTTCCATTTTATATTTTTAGCTTCTTTGTCAAAAATTGGGTGTTCATAGGTGTGTGGTTTCATATCGGGGTCTTTGATTCAATTTCATTGGTCCATCTGTCTGTTTTTATGCCAATACCAAGCTGTTTTCATTACTATGACTGTATAGTAGACTTTGAAGTCAGGGATGATGATGCCCCCAGATGATCCTTTATTGTACAGGACTGTTTTGTCTATCCTGGTTTTTTGTTTGTTTGTTTTTCCATATGAAGTTGAGTATTGTTCTATCAAGGTCTGTGAAGAACAGTGTGGGAATTTGCAGGGTCCTCCCAGCAGGTAGAGTGGGGGAAGGGCCAGTCCAGCAGGTTTCTTCCTGGGGGCTAAGCGGGATGGTGAGTGTGGACGACTCAGACCCTCCCCCATTAGTTACCGAGGAGAAAAAATACACACTGAGTCAGGAGTCTGTCGAAGCAGGATCTCGATTTATTCCAACAGGCAGGAACTTATATAGGGCTGAGGGTAGGGGATGGGAATCATATGATAGGGTAAGGTGACTTGTGGAGTAAGGGCCAATAGTATTCCACCAAACAGGCAGGTAGCCAGGGGGCAGTCTTACATCAGGTCTGGCTGAGTCATCCCCACTTGGAGGTTACAGGTTAGAGACAGGTCACCAAACTCTAGCCAGGGCTCAGGAGCTTACTCTGGGCCTCACATCCGAGCCTTTCTTAGGCCCAACAGGAATTTTGTTGGGGGTTGCACTGAATCTGTAGATTACTTTTGCGGCTGCTGCTCTTATTGTTGCTTTGGGGGGAAGGGTAGCTGGGATCCTAGGCCTGGAACCTAGAGCTTTACACACACTTGGTGAGCTGTACTTCTTTTCAGACCCAGTGTCGCCAAATTACCCACGCTGGCCTTGAACTCATGATCCTCTTCCCTCAGCTTCTCGAGCACTAGGATTGCAGGCATGAGCCAACATGCCCTCTCTCCTTGTTCCCATTCTTGTCCACCCTTCCCATCTACCCCTCCCTGTGGTCGGTCTGGCAGCATCTGAGTCATTCTCCTGGGAGAGACAAATGACCGCAGTTCCATGTCCTTTCTCCTGTGGCTGATTTGATTTTTTTTTCTATCACAACACATATAGCATTTGGTCTAGAAGAGCCCAAAGAATGTCTCAAAATGCCATATTTACCAGAATTGCCAAGTTGCCCGAAGAGCTTAAGTTCAACCCCACTAGAGATCCGTAAGCACCTGCTGCATGCTGAGTCAGAAATCCCTCCGATCAGGTAGGTGGCGAGCTCCTGACTGCCTTTGTTGAATGTTTATTTGTAAGTAATGCTGAAGGTAGGGGGCTTTCCGGCCTAGTGAATCTGATTCTTGCTTGTTGAATTTTTTTCCCTAGAGGATTGGATTTTTATTTTATTTTATTTTCCATCTAAGTTAGCCACTTCATTTAAGTTGGCAAATCGGCCCTTTTCTCTCTTTTCAAGTGACATTGCCAGAAAGGAGTAAAGGCCCCCTTTTCAGTCTATTGATTGTCTGAGCCTGATTCAAATGCATGAGATCACGGGAATGATGATCTCTATAAGGATTTTAACTCTGCAGCCATTGCAGGGTTTGGAAGACTGGGTGAGACTGGGGGCTGATAAACCTGCACTGTCAGGAGGGAGTTTCAGTCACTCACTTTTGTAAACTGCCACTAACAGCCTTCTCTGGCTCAAGAGCTGGGTATGTGGCTCAGTGACACGGTGCTTGCCAAGTTTCATCTCCAGTGCTGGAAACAAACAAACCAAAAACCCTAGCTTTATCTGTATATCTGTAATCTCAGCACTCAGGAGCCCAAGGCAGGAGGAGTTGTACTTCAAGCCTAACCTTGGTTTCCTAAGGAGGCCCTGTCACCCTGAAAAAGAGAACCCTGCTTTTCTAATATAACATTGACATATTAATCGAAGAAGAGTTAGAGCCCTTCAGCCCCAACAGGGTTTCTTTGTACAGCCTTGGCTATCCTGGAACTAGTTCTGTAGACCTCAAACTCAAAGAGATCCACCTGCCTCTGCTTCCGGAGTGGTGGGCTTAGAGGCATGCACCACCACCTCCTGGTTCAAGTTTTTTTCTAATAAAAGAAAACATCTTTCTACAAAGAAATTGATTAGTGTGTAACTCCAGCCCTCTTGGAGGACAAGGCAGGGCTGCTGTGAGTTTGGGGCCATCCTGGGCTATAACATGAGTTCAAGGCTAGCTTTTTTCACATAGTAAAATCTTGTCTCAAGAAATGAAACAAAACAGAACAAAAGCCAACCAACCGAACAAACAAAGAAAAACCACCCTGAAACCTAGAGAGGTGGATCAGAGTTTAAATGTGTGTGCTGCTCTTCTGGGGGACTGGAGTTTCATTTTAACATCCACTCAGGCAGTTCGGATAGACGCCTGTAACTCAGTCTCCAGGGCATCAGATAGATAGATAGATAGATAGGTAGGTAGATAGATAGATAGATAGGTAGGTAGATAGGTAGGTAGGTAGATAGATAGATAGGTAGATAGATAGGCAGGCAGGCAGACACAAATAAAAATAAATCTTAAAACAAAAACACTTGGGAGGCAGAGGCAGGTGGATCTCTGTGAGTTCAAGATCAGCCTGGTCTATAGAGTGAGTTCCAGGACAGCCAGGGCTGTTATTCAGAGAAACCCTATCTTGAAAAAACAAAAAACAAATAACAACAAAAACCCCAAAACACACACACACACACACACACACACACACACACACACACACACACACCCCAGAAACCAAAAGAAGGTAAAAAAAAAAAATCCTAAAGCAAAACCAGAGACATGTCCATGGGCTGGTAAAACAGCCTTATATTCTTTTAGGCTTCTGCTGTGCTAATTGACTAACATTTATGTCTTATTGGTTTTTCTGTTGCTGTGATAAACATCATGAACAAAAGCAGCTCAGGGGTGGGTGAAGAGTTTATTTCATCTGCTGTTTCCAGGCCGCACTCCATCCTTGAGGGAAGTCAGGGCAGGAGCTCAGGCCGGAGCTTGAAGCAGAGTCTATGGAGAACTGCTGCTCACTAGCAGCCTGACATTCAGTTACTTTTCTTTAAACAAATACTATTTTATTTCATGTGTCCGGGTGTTTTGTCTTCGTGTATGTCTGTGTGCCACACGCATACCTGGTGTCCTCAGAGGCCACAAGAGGGAGCTGGATACCCTGGAGCTGGAGTTAGAGATGGTTGTGAACCACATTGTGGTTGCTGGGAATTGAACCCATGTTCTCCGGAAGAGCAGCCAGTGCTCTTAACCTCTTAGATATCTCTTCAGCCTTAGCTACTTTTCTTACACAGCCACCTGTCCAGGGTTGCTACCACCCACAGTGGCTGCCTCTTTCTTTTGAAAGGGGTAAACTAAACTCAAAGGCTTCACTTCTAATAATTTAGAAATAAAGGGACCAGACCCTCACTCAGCCCCCTGCTTTAGTAGCCATGACAGGCTACAGAAGAGACACCTAGGCCTCTGACACAAGGAAACCCCAGATCCTTTGGCTTCTGGGAGTCTAGGGCCCAAACTGAACACAAAGAAACTCCAGAGGCCGCCTCTCCCCTCCCCCCCACCTGCCCAGCCTCCTAGATGCTTGGTTCCTGGGAACTGTTTGGCCACAAAAGAAACTCCAGGGGGTGACTAAAACCTCCCCTGTAATCTCCAAGGTAAAGTTCTGATAACTATTGGTATCTACGTACAACAGGCCACATTCAAATAACAAGACAATGCCACTGAAACCATAGAATGTTCCCTCTCAGCACTGACCAATAAAAATAATTGATACACAGGTATTTCATGTCAAATATAACTTTGAAAAATGCTCCTAATTGTACCCAAATGTCAACCAATCAGAAACCAACCCGTACCTACTGATGTAATCCTGTTTATTTATTTATTTATTTATTTATTTTGGTTTTTTGAGACAGGGTTTCCCTGTGGCTTTGGAGGCTGTCCTGGAACTCGCTCGGTAGACCAGGCTGGTCTCGAACTCACAGTGATCCGCCTGCCTCTGCCTCCCGAGTGCTGGGATTAAAGGCGTGCGCCACCAACGCCCGGCAATCCTGTTTACTTTTGTCTATAAAACTTAGCAGTAGACAGGGAACTTCACTCCCTCTGCAGGCTACTGTGTCAGCTTGCTAGATGGAGTCTCTGTTATGGTTGGATGAACAATCATTAAGCCTCGCTTTTGCAGTTTAGTGGGTCTGTCTTCTTGGTGGTCTCTGGGGACTTTGCAACTTGGGCACAACATTTGGGGGCTCGTCCGCGATCCCCAGGCCCCCTAAAGGTTTCAATTTAGTGGGTTTGTCTTCCTGGTGGTCTCTGGGGACTTTGCAACTTGGGCACAACATCTATATTAATTAACAATTAAGAAAATGCCCAATGGACATGTCTACCGGCTAACCTGACAGAGAAATTCTTCAGCTAGGGTTGCTGAGAACCAAGAGTAGCCACCACAGACTAGTTGTTCATTTGGCTGTCTTATAGAAAAGAAACATTATCTGCATTGTAACTTTTAAAAGAGGGTATAGAAATATACAGATATATATCTGGTTGGGTTTGTGTGTGTGTGTGTGTGTGCTAGACTATAGGCCGAGCCACCATAATTGGCACACTTACATTTTTGTATGATCTTACTATTAAGAACAACTTTAATCATTCACTCACAGACAACATATAAGACTGGGATTTTAGATTTATTTTTTCAGCGATTGAGATGGCATTTCACTTTGTAGCCCTGACTGGCTTGGAACACACTATGTAGAACAGGCTAGCCTTGAACTCACAGTTATACACCTGCCTTTATCTTCCAAATTCTGGGATTAAAGGTGTCCCACCACACCTGGTGCTGTTTGTGTTTGCTGCTGGAGATTGAGTCAGGGCTGTGACTGCTAGGTTAGCTCTCTACTGCTGAGCCTCATTCCCAGCCTAGCTGTAGTATTTTGTTTGAGACAGGGTGTCATGTAGCCCAGGCTGGCCTCTAATTCACAGAGCACCCTGCGAACCCCTGATACCCTGTCAAGTTCTGGGACTAGAGGCATGTGCATCACCCCTAACTTTATTACCTTACAAATATTTTTATTTTGTCCGTGCATGTTTGCCCTGCATGTTTGTAGATGTGCCACATGTATGACTGGTGCCTGAAGAATCCAGGAGATGGAGTTGGATTCCCTGGAATTGGAGTTGCAGACAGTTGGGATCTGCCATGTGTGTGCTGGGAACCAAATCCAGGCCCTGTTGCAAGAACTGCCAGTGCTTTTAACTGCTGAGTCACCTCTCCAGTGCTCAGCTTTATTTCTTGAGTTTACCAAATCAGATTGCTGTTAGGTACTCTCAACATTAATTCTGGTAACGTAAGTAGAAAACTGGAAGACACCAGTTAAAAGTCAGCCAACCTCACTGGCTTATGGCTGCAATATTAGAACTTGGGTAAGTTAGGGGAGTCCTAAGTTTTGTTCAGCCTCTTAGTGAGCTCTCTGATAGACCAGATACATGGGGAAACCTTATATCCAAATAAATAAATAAACTGAAAAAGAGTGGATATCTAGATTATGGGGAAAATTTCAAGTTTACAGAAAATCTGGAGAAAAAAAGAAAGGGTGCTTTCTTCTGTACTTCATTTTCATATATTTTATTTTAGTTGTGATCTTAGTGTACATGTACTTTTCATTTTGCCCCTCTCCCCAAAGATTGTTTGCAGGAACACACACTCATGTGCACATGAGCTCAGGGGCCTGAGGTGGCCAGAGGTGCTGGCACCACTGAATGTAAGTGTGGGAAAGAGCACTCTTTGCTCTTAATTGTTGAAGCATCTCTGCAACCCCTTGTTATGTTGTTTAAAAGTTAATATTGGCCAGGCATTGGGTAACAAGCCTTTAATCACAGCACGAGATAAGCAGGTGTCTGTGAGTTCAAGTCCACCCTGGTCTACAAAGAGAGTTCTAGGCCAGCCAGTGTTGCATAGTGAGGCCCTGTCTCAACAAAACAAAACAAAACAAAACAAAGCACAACAAAAAATATCCAAACCCAGCAACCTCCCAAATCACTGACCTTGACATATACCATGTCATACAATCTTTATTTTACATAGCTTTGCTAGCCACATTATTGTCTATATGCTGCTCTGTGGTTTACCTAACCATTTCTTATTTTAGACTTGTTAAGTTCCTGTGACATATTTGGTTTTGTAAATAACATCACAAGGAAAATATCCTACATATAGCTTTTGTCAGCCCTTTCAATATTTTTCTTTTTTTTTTTTGGTTTTTCGAGACAGGGTTTCTCTGTGGCTTTGGAGGCTGTCCTGGAACTAGCTCTTGTAGACTAGGCTGGCCTCGAACTCACAGAGATCTGCCTGCCTCTGCCTCCCAAGTGCTGGGATTAAAGGCGTGCGCCACCAACGCCCGGCTTTCAATATTTTTCTAAGGACAGATTTTCTAGCATCAAAATGTAAAAGGCAGGGGTAGGGATCTAGCACAGTTGGTAGAGTGTTTGCCTACCAAGCCTGAAGTCCTGAGTGTGATACCCAGCATTGCATAAACTGTGGTAGAGCATCCTGTCATCCCAGCACTCCGGAGGCACAAGTTCAAGACCATCCTCAGTTATATAGTTACACGAACTACATCAGACAGTAATCTCATAGATAAAGTGGAAAGGTGAAGACTAAGTGATGTATATGAACCGGTAGGCAAATGTAAACGTAACTGATTGAAGTGCCTTCATTCAGCCATTCCGGTGAGAACATACCAAGTTGTCCTAAGTATTTTCTTCCCGCTGCCTATTGCACATTGTTCTGTGAAAGACCCGTGTTGGCAAAGCAGGGAGATGCTCCATTTGTTTTGTGCACAGCCCTTACTTCTCTTTAGTACCACAATATGTGAATATTTGACTCTAAAACTCTGGTAAATGTCTAATCTTTTCTCAAATTTTCTTAATGGAGGTCAGAAATTTTCAGTGAGTCTCACAAGACATAAGGAATATAACTGACAATAACATTGCAAAGGTAAAGATTAAAGCTTACCATAGTTGTATGGAATGTGGAATCCTTACAATTCTTTACCCATTTCCCCGAATAATTTGTTATGCCAGTCTATTCCTTTGGGGACAAGAATTATAGTAAAAATTCAGATCATGGTAACTGATAGAGTCAAAATTGCAAAAATATGGAATACAGACATTCTGTATCTAACACACCCAGACACGTTAGTGTGCCTTCTGCCGCGCCCACTGTGCAGCCTGTATCCGAGAATGCAGTGAGGGTATCGGGATTGATGACATAGAGACCAGAAGGCTCCTCAAGGAGGCTCTCTTCTATTCCTACCTTGGCTGGTTATTATATACCCTGACACCAGAGGCAGCGGTGGGTGGGTCAGAAAGAGGCAGTTAGTCTTTGGAAGAGGTCGAGGTCAGGGCGTTCAGGAACTTATTGCCCCTGGGCACTGTATTGTTTTTAGTAAACATTGTCTTACAGCTGCCTGCTCCCAGGCTGATGGGGAAGTGGGTCTCTGGCCAATGTCTGTTGTCCCCACACCTTCTCTCAGCATAGCTTGTGTCATGACTACCGCAGTTACCACAAATGCCTGTGTAGAATTTTACCCAGTGCTTAGCTACTGGAGAAATGTATTAGGAAATCTACCATGGTGTTGGTTCATTCCCACTTCTGTTGGGGTTAATTATGGTGGAGTTGTTTCGCGTTTGTTCCTAAGTGATGTCATTTGACAAGGTAAGTTTCAGTAAGACACATCATATGCTTACCAGACGCAAGAGTGTGGGACTTGTCCCCAGCAGAGAAACAAACAGAACAGCACAAAACGTAAGAAGCCAGTGAGTATGACTGAGACTATGCCGTTTGCCTCTTGTGTTTTTCAAAGTCAACAGTCTGTGGGTTGATGTATGCCATTTTATGACCATCCGTAATCTTTAGGATTAAGAAGACCAAAGAGTCGTGCAGCATGCCAGCACTTCAAGAGAAGTCAAAAGGTACTTCATTGTTTCATGTGTTTCTTCCCACGCTGTTTCCTTTTTGAATAAAGTTTTACTATGTAGCCAAGGCTGGCCTCAAGCTTACAGTAAATGCCCTGCCCCAGTCTCCTGAGTGCTGCCATAACAAGCACAAGCTACATGCCTAACTTGTTAATGCTTCTGTCAAGCTCTGCTTAGTCTGTAAATTTAGTGGGTTCTGGGTTCAATACACACAGTTCTGTCATCTCAGGCCCAAGGCCAGACTCCAACATAACTCACTTGGGCCTCTTTTTTTTTTTTTTTGGTTTTTCGAGACAGGGTTTCCCTGTGGCTTTGGAGGCTGTCCTGTAACTAGCTCTGTAGACAAGGCTGGCCTCGAACTCACAGAGATCCGCCTGCCTCTGCCTCCCAAGTGCTGGGATTAAAGGCGTGCGCCACCAACGCCCTGCTCACTTGGGCCTCTTAACAGCCTTCAAACTGGCTTCTTTACGTTAAATCTCTGAGCTTTAAACTCATTCAACAGTGCAACAGAAGTATGCAGCCTTGATGCCCAATCACACTACTCCCCTACTTAAGAAACACCTGCTCATTGCCATCTACTAAAATGTGAAATAGCACGTAGCACTGAAGCCTTTACCACCTTCCCAGAAAGTTCCATCCTATCCTCTTCTTTAAAAAACAAAACCAAAAAACTATTATTTTATGTGTGTGGTGTTTTGCTTGCATGTGTGTCTGTGTAGTAGTACTATGTAGTACTATGTAGTAGTACTATGCACACTAAGCATCCAGAAGAAGGCAGTGGAGAATGCACTGGAACTGGAGTTATAGAAAGTTGTGAGTTTCCACATGCTGGGAATTAACCTGGGTCCTCTGGAAGAACAGCCACTGCTCTAAACTATCTTCTATTTTTTCTAATGAATTCTGTGTATTTAGCACATTTTACTACAGACACTATCTATATTGCAATTGTTTCTTAAATCAGTTTCTTTCAAAGCACCATTGAGTATTTCTTGCATGTCTGGAGGGAGAGTCTGTCCTTTGACCCTTTAAATCAGACATTGCCAGTTTCTCACTTCTCATATACTTGATTAGAATTTTGTTCTTTGAGAGTAGACACTAAAACCTCTGCTGAGTCAGGTGACTTAATGACATCTATAAGACTGTAGAGAACTTTTTAGGAATTCAGGTGTCTGTATTTACTGTCTCCTTCCTGTACTTGTTAGATTTTGGGGGTGTTGTGTCAGAGAAAATGTATATGGCATATGACAGAATATGCATATCTGATGTTTGAGCCCTATAATAAACTCTTAACATTTTCTTGAAGCAATTTTGCTCAAAGTTAGTGATAAAGTTTCTTGAGCCATATAATCAAAAGTTTTCCATTTTTTGGTTGTCAGAAGTAGGCATATTGGCCTTTCTGGAAAGTTCAAGATGTGTATGCAAAGATCCGTGGTGTTTTGTGGGCATTAGTGGAAGCATGTGCCATTCATCGTCTTGGTGCGTGCTGGCTTGAGTTGTGAGAGCTGATTTTCTTCCTCACAGGCTCTGTCTTCAGTGACCCTTTCACAGGAGCGTCGTCTCAGTTTCTACAGAGACTTTCTAGAATGGCCATACTGGAATATGACACTATCCGCCAAGAAACACACAAGAAATCAAAGCGAGGCAAGAAGCGAGATCTCCGAGAATGCTGAGGGTCCTGCATCATGCCAAGCTTTCTACCCTGGGCCATGTCTCTTTTTCTTTCTTTCATTCTTTTTTGATATGTGATATGATATACATACAAATGGAAATGTAAATAGCAAATAAATATTTTATGTTATATATGCAATAATTCGTGTTTTGTTAAACATGACGCTTCATCTTTTATTTTGCTTTTTTCTTGAAAATGAATATTTTGTTATTAAAATGGACAGATTTTATTTCCTAAATAAATATGGTACTAGGGTTGAACCCAAATCTTTGAGTATACTAGGTAAGTTTTCTGCCCATTGAGCTGTATCCCCATTAAAAAAATTTGAATGATGTGAATATGTGCATACTAGAAATTATAAGTTTTATGTACATTTATATGTCTTTTGACCTAACTTGATACATGCTTTTGAGACTTATCTTCCCAATGGACCTCACTAGTTGTTGTAGAAGTGTAGCGAGCTGCCGGTGTGTTCGTAGCTACAGTGCTACCATACTTCACAACCATCCGAGGCTAAGGGCTAAGGATGAAAATAAAGACAAAGACAGCGGCTCATTCTTGCAAGGAGAATGGCATTTATTATTACAAGAGTGGAGCCTTATATACCAAAGGCAGGTATTGTGGAAAAACACCAAGGTCAGAAGCCTATGTTCCCAGGGCCCTCCTGCAAAGGGGTGGGCCAAAACCAGGAATTAGCATTTAGACAATAAACAGGAACTTGCATGCAGGCCTTACTGGGAGGAGGGGATGAGAAGTGTTTTGTTAAAAGCCCCTAGTAACAAGCAGTCAACAGACCCCCATGGGGGAAGGGTGCAACATAGAAGGTTGGAGAAGAACCCAGGGATGATGTCATACATCTGAAACTCATCATTCAGGAGGCTGAGGCAAAGGTTTTTGACCCTGGACTACAGAGTGAGGCTCTGTCTGAAAACAACCAAGCAACTGAAGAGAACGGATTAATGGAAAGTAAGTGCTGCTGGCATTAGGAGGAGATAGCTGGAGAGACGCTTGCTCCATGTTCTTCCAGGTGACCCAGTCGGGCGTGCACACCAGGCTGCTCACCATCCCCTCCCAGGGCGGCCACCTCCACAGCTGTGGCACACAGCTGCATAAAATAGAAATGAAAAATGGTTTTTGTTTAAAGCGAGGAAGCTCAATGAAAGGGTTTTGTCATGTTTGGAAACTATTGTGAGAGAAATATTCAACCAGGTGAAGAGGAAAGTTTTCTCTTGGTTTGCCAATGAAGTCTGGATGAGTAATCCTGCCTTTGCTTGTGAGACAACAGTGAACCTTCCAATACTGACCTTTACCAAGGAGCAAGCGAACACACTCAGGTAGTACCCACTACCCTTGGCCACCCCTCACCTCAGGATCTTTACTACCAGGCAGATAGTGTCTCTCTACAGTGTACACAGACAGATCTGTAGGGGGGAAGGAGGAGGGAGAAAATTAACCCCATCTTCATGGAGAAGGAGGTCCAGCTCAAAAGAGAAACCCTTTTCCAGGAAGCCTGAGGAATGGGAGACACGTGCTTCTGCGAAGCCAGCTTCAGTTTGAGCTTCTAATTGTTCTTGGCCCGCACAGTAACTGACTTCAAGTTAGTTGCTAGTGTTTACACATTGGAAGGTTTTTACCAGAAACATCTAGAACACTGACAGTTGGCTTTGGAGAGTACAGGACACTGATTCTCCTAGGAGTTTAGAGTCCAGGCAGCAACCCTTAGTCAGAGAGGACCTTGTGGAAGATACAGTGTTTGAAATGAGCCTTAAATATGGGAAACATGGAAGACATGGCATTCTAGAAAGCTGACAAAACATAAACAAAGGCATACTACACACTGGGGATGGCACACATGAGGCACTATGTCTACAGAGCAGGCTTCATAGCTTCACACACCTACAGGCCCCAAGCCAGTTCTAGTTCCAGGTTGTGTGACCCCATCGGGCAGAGGCTGTGGTAAACCCATTTCAAAGGGCCTGGATGCCTAGCTTTGGTTCTTTGTGTTATGTGAGTCTAAAGTTGTCAGATATTCTAGCTTTTCACAAGAAATGAGAACCTGAATTTTCATGAAACCTTAGGGTTTCTATCGATATGAAGAGACAATATGACCACAGCAACTCTTAGGAAAGAAAGCATTTAATCAGGACTGGCTTCCGGTTTCAGAGCTTTAGCATGGCAGCATGGTGGTGGAGAGGTAACTGAGAGTTCTACATTCAAATCTGTCAGCAGGAAGAGAGAGAGTCACTATGCCTGGCTTGGGCTTCTGAAGCCCCAAAGAGACACACTTCATGCCCACTCCAATTGACATACTCACTCCAACAAGGCCACACCTCCTAACCTCTTTCAGGTGGTCCACTTCACTAATAACCAAGCATTCAAATATTTGAGCCTATGGGAGCCATTCCTATTCAAACCACCACACTTCCAAAAGGTACATAGAGGGTCTCTAGTTAGAAGGTAGACAAACTGGGACTCTATTGATCTAGGGTCTAAAGTTCATGTACATAAACTCTTGGGAATAATAATTTTAAAACGTCTTCAACCATACCAAAGGATACATCATGATTGTCTGAGTGTCCTCTTCTCACTAGAGGTCATTAGGATCACCCTTTTGTTACAACAGATATAATGACTGTATTAATAAATACAGCCAAATATTATAACTGTGTGATCAATCAAACAACTTCAAATTGAGTTGATAGTATGATCCACACGGGTGAACCCAACTAAGAATCAAAGCAAAAGTGAAGAGGTTGCCTTAAATGCCCTTCCTCTATTATGAGATTGATGACTACCTCAAATGCCATCCTAGAGCTTTCATCCAGCAGCTGATGGAAGCAGAAGCAGACACCCACAGCTAAGCACTGAGCAGAACTCCTGGAATCTAGTTGTAGAGAGGGAGGAGTGATGATCATGCTGGAGAAACCCACAGAAGCAACTGACCTGAGCAAGAAGGAGCTCACGGGGACCCCAGTCTGACAGCTGGGAAACCAGCATAGGACTGAATCAGGCCACCTGAATGTCTGTGGTGCCTCTGGCAGTGGAAGCAGTATTTATCACTAGTGCAAAAATGGACTTTGGGAGCCCATTCCTCTTGGAGGGATACTCTCTCACCCTAGATACATGGGAGAAGGCCTAGGCCCTCCCCCAAATGATGTGACAGACTTTGATGATCCCCCATTGAAGGCCTCACTCTCCCTGGGGAGTGGATGGGGATGGGATGGGGGTTGGTGGGGGACATGGGAGGGAGAGGGCACTGGGATTGATATGTAAAATAAGATTGTTTCTAATTTATATAAAATATTGTAAGTAATATATATCATATAACAATCATAATCATGCTTTAATTGATTAAAATTTGGGGTAATATAGAACATCCACAGACAAAAATAACTGTTCCAAATCAAGGCAATATGACATCATGGATTCATTCCTGTGGAATGGAAAGCTGGTATTGCTTACATAGATATTATGTCCACACCACCCTATCTCCCTAGGAAAGAATTCAACTTAAGCCATTTCCAGAGTGGAATACTTTTTCTTTTTTAAAAGAGTATTTATTTTTATTTATTATGTGGACTGTGGGAGAAGCTATGCCACATGTAAGCAGGAGTCTTCCTTCAGAGGAGAGAAGAGGGCTTTAGATCCCCAGGAACTGGAGTTACAAGTGGTTGTGAGCAATCTGACATGGGTCCTGGGTCCCAAACTCAGGTCCTCTTGAAGAGTAGCAAGCACTCTCATCCACTGAGCTGCCTCTCCAGGCCCTACTGTTTCTTTTTAATAAATGAGATGGACTGTTAGTAATTGACTACTTGTTCAGCCTTAGAATCCAACTTAGCTTAAGATTTTCATTAAATCTTTTTTTTTGTTTTTTTTTTTGTTTTTTTTTTTTGTTTTTCGAGACAAGGTTTCTCTGTGGCTTTGGAGGCTGTCCTGGAACTCACTCTGTAGACCAGGCTGGCCTCGAACTCACAGAGATCCGCCTGTCTCTGCCTCCCGAGTGCTGGGATTAAAGGCATGCGCCACCAACGCCCGGCCTTCATTAAATCTTTTTTTGCTGTTTGTTTTGAGACAAGGTCTCATGTAGCTCAAGCTGCCCTCAAACTTAAGGGATGACCTTGAATTCCTGATTTTTCTGCCTCTACCTCCCCAAGTGCAGGGGAGAATAGCATGTACCATTAGCATCAAGGAAACAGGTTCATTCAGCTGAAAAAAAAATTGACAGATTCTACTACATTAGATCCTTTAGTACTTGATAGAATGCCAAGGAAAACTGGTATGTATTTAGAACACAGAAAGCACACGGCACCTCCAAGTAGGACAAACAAGGACTTAAGGATCAGAACCAGCTTTAGAAAAGACTCATTTTTAGCACATCTGGATGCTTTACCTCCGTGTGTAATCTGGGCACCATCTCTGTGTAGTGCCCTAAGAGGTCAGAAGAGAGCATTGGATCCTCTGGAACTGAAGTTACAGATGTTTGTGAGCCCCTGTGTGGGTGCTGGGAACAGAACTCCAGGTCCTTTGCAAGAGCAACAAATGCTCTCAACTGCTGAGTCATCTCTCCAGCCCCTAGAGGCCGTTCTGTTACTGCAGTCACTGTGACTATTGGTAAGTGTTTTGTCTGTGATTTGGAAACTCCTTCCAGAGAAAGTGGCAACATTCCAACATTCCCAACCTTGAGGACCTGTACCTTATGATAAACATTTAGGATGGGGAAATGGAGTTAAGCAAACAGTTCATTTAAAGGTTTACGTGTGTGTGTGTGTGTGTGTGTGTGTGTGTGTGTGTGTGTGTGTGTGTGTGTTATGCTTATCTGAGGTCTGTGCCCAAGAGGACCATAAGAGTGATGGATCCCTGGAGCTGGGGTTACAGGCACCTGACATGGGTGTGAGTCACCTGACTTGGGCGCTGGGAACCAAGCTGGTGTCCTGGCAGAGCAATATGTGCTTTTAACCTCTCTGCTATCTCTCCAGTCCGAGAAAAATGTTTTTTATGCAGAATAGTTACTCCATCAGAGAAAAAATTCCTAGTTCATGATTCCAAAGAAAGACTAATTTTCTTTTCTTTATTCCTTTCAAATTCTAGCAGCTTCCTTATATGTAATTTTGATTTCTCAGTAAACACATCCACTGAAA